AACTCAAAATACTCACCATTAATTAAGAAATAAAGCTAACATTTGTGCAGTATCAATACGGATACCCTTTTCTTTTGCAGTGTTTTGACTGTGAAACCCCAGCACGAGGTATGATTACTGAGCACCTTGAGACCACAGACACTTATGAATCAATGGTCTCACATACAAAACAGTCTCACATATGAGCAGTCTCACTGAATGTGATTTTTTCCACTCAGAACTGCTGCAGGGTGTAAAAGTTTTCCAAATTAGGCTGTAAGTTCAATGGCTCCCCCAGAGATGCTCACAGCCAGGGGCGACGACCATCAAAAAGCAAAAGCCAACTTCAGCCCTTCCAAAAGTCAGAGCTGTAGCTCTGAAGGGGATTTGCAACATGGTGAAGTGCATTTTGATAAAGAAAAGCGTATTCCTATTCGTTTTGCAGGGAAAATAGCTTTGAAAGTGGGAAGGAAGTTGCGATGAGAGGAGGAAAGTCAATAGAAATCTCATTTCTTGGGACTAGGGTGGAACATTGAAGCACGGTTTGGTTTCCCTCTCCATTTGAGGCAAAGTTTGGCAGTATTAGTTCTCTTACTGAAGCCAAGGTGGTCCCTGAACCCCTGGGAGCAGGGAAGCCTCAGGCTTGCAGGTCACCGCTGCTTGTCTTCTCCCTGGTGCAGTCACCAGAGAAGTGGCAGCAAGCCTGGTGCTGCCCTGAGGTGGTTCCAGGACTTGTGGAGCACCTCGCTGCATGACTGACACAGACAATTTTAAAGCTAAGATTTCTGTGAAACTCAGAAATCTGGAGATGCTGTTGTCTCCACAACTTAAATTACCCCATGGAATGTATAGATTAAAGTATTAATTGATTACATTATTATGTTAATTCTGCTTACAAAAGGAAGATGTTACTTGATATTTTCCTTGGCTCCTCATTGCATTCAAAGAAGCCTCATTTACTGCACAGCAGCCCAAGCCTACAACCAGTAAGAGGTTTTTTTTCTCTTCTTCAAAGGCTTAAATTAACGTCAGAGCAGTAGACCTGGAGTACAGTACCATCCCTAGTGCTTGTGAATGACACAGTACTGAAACAATGGCCAGCTGTGACTTCCTCACTTCACCCCACCTTTCCACTCACCACCCTGGACTTTCCATTTTCATCCTATATAGACACATGCCACTAGAAAGTATATTAAGGAAGAAAATGGGTCTTGCCGCTCACCATTCTGATTCATTGTCATCCTCAAAAATCAAATGTAAGTTTGCTTACGTCTTCTCTCTTTAAAACGTTGAGTAACCTGCAAACTTAAGAAATAAATAGCAGATATAAATATGGTCATTAGACCATTTATATGTATTTTTTCTGCATAGCTGATTCCCCAGAAGAGTAGGCATATTAAGTTGTAGATATTATAATAGTGGATTTAAAAAAAAAATACGTTTTCTTTTTACTCTGAAAAAATGTTAATGCTGTCCATGACTGGGGTTAAATCTTGTAAAAGACCACAGCATGATAGCATTACCATTTTCAGATGGTTGGTGTTCTTCAAGAAATATCTACTGCCAGCTCTTCCCGTTGAACGCCTCTATAATATTGAGTTCCTCTGTCTGGATTCCTTAAAAAAAAAAAAAAAACACAAATAAAATAAATGTAGCTGCACTAGCAAGTTCACTGGCTTCAAATATAACAAAGTATTGCGATCAGCTGATTGGTATAGCATTAGATAAGTTACCAGAGAGCAATATGAGATTACTTCTTGCCAGAGGTTAAAATAGAAAGAGAAGCTCATTCTGGCTACTGTCATAAAGATTCGACATCTACTGATTGAGCGTTTTCATCACTTGCATGTGTTCAGTTTTCCAGGGAAGAGTTTTACTTCCTTGGTGGGGAAAAATAACTCTCTCTTGACATTTAATTCCTTCTGTTATGAAGGAAGTCAGACTACATCATAATTGCCTTTTCTATCTCCAAAATCCACAACATGGATTACAGATTATTTCTTTGGAAAAAACACCTCACTTTGTCAGATATTGCGTATACAAAGCTGGAACTGACTCAGTTAAAACTTCCTACTGACAACACTTAGGATCGAGACACAATGTAGTTTCAACCTTTTTACGGAATTTCCTTTTTTGTTAAAACCAATAAATAAAAGGGAAGGCTCAAGAGTCCTAAGGTCAGAGCAAAACTTCTGCAATTTAGAAAAGCTTCAGCTGTCTTTCAAATGAGGTGGAAGGAGGAACAACTTGAATGTGAGACGTCATGGAGCTACTACCGACATGCAGCAAGGAAGATGGCTTCAGTTCCTGTCTTTTCACCTGTAATCATAGCATCACAGAATGGTTTGGGTTGGAAGAGACCTTTGAAGGTCATCTACTCCATACTTTGGGCACAGATGTTGCTCAAAGCCCTGTCCAACCAACATTTCCAGGGTTGTGGTATCCACAACCCCTCTAGCAACCTGTTCCAGTGTTTCACCACCTCCAATGCAAAAGAAATCCTTCCTTATTTACTCCTTATCAGAATCTGGCCAGCTTCTGCTAATGTATGTTGGCCTAACCCTTACTCTATCATCTGTGTTTTGCAGTACGGTGTCTTCCTAGAGTCTTCCTTAACTGGCTCTGCATTATTTTACTGTATGGATACAGTAAAAATGGCCTCATTAAACCTGAAAAGCAGTTTAATAAAAAGAAGAAATAGTCAAGGAGGCGACTTTGCTTAGTCTTGTAGTATCTTTTCTCTATCTACCCTCCCCTAATCCCTGTACTCTCCAGGATCTATCACATTCAGTACAGAGAAATAACAGTACGTACTTTCTTGTCTCTTTTTGAACTGACCTACAGTGGTCTCTTTTGGTCTCCTACTTCCAAAGGATATAAAATATAGAAATGGCCTAATACGGAGATGGCCCTGAGTTCAGGAACCAGATCTCCCTGTTGCTCTGTGGTTGCATTGAGCGCTGTTCCCATTTGTTCTCATGCTCATACAAGAAATGTTCAGAATATTTTTTTTCTAGTAGTGGCATCACTTCATTTTACTGTGTCCAGTTTTGGGCCCCCTACCATAAAAAAGACATTGAGGTGCTGGAGCGGGTCCAGAGAAGGGCGACAAAGATGGTGAGGGGTCTGGAGCACAAGTCTTACGAGGAGAGGCTGAGGGAATGGGTTATTCAGCCTGGAGAAGAGGAGGCTGAGGGGAGACCTTATTGCTCTCTACAACTACCTGAAAGGAGGGTGTAGAGAGGTGGGGGTGAGTCTCTTTTCTCAAGTCACAGGTGACAGGACAAGAAGAAATGGCCTCAAATTGCGCCAGGGGAGGTTCAGGCTGGATATTAGGAAAAATTTTTTCACTGAAGGGCTGCCCAGGGAGGTGGTTGAGGCGTTTGCCCTGGAGGTGTTCAAAAGACGGGTTGATGTAGTGCTGGGAGGTATGGTTTAATGATGATGCTCCTTGTTTGTTGTGTGGGTGTCTGTTTTTGTCAGTTAGGTTGACGGTTGGACAAGATGATCTTTAAGGTCCCTTCCAACCTAGAAGATTCTGTGATTCTGTGATTCATGCAGGTTGGGTAGGGAATTGAGAGAGCACCTTATGATCCATCCTCCAAAGGTGTTTCTCCCTGCAAATGTGGCGGAACAGGAAATTGGATCTACATCTCCTACTTCTCTGTAAAGTGCTGTCACCACCCTACTGATGGTAAGAAAGAAGTGGACGCTACCTTCTATAACCTGACTCTCTTTTACCTGCTACTGTCTTCTGCGAGAATCTGCTGCTTTTCAAAGGTGTCCTCCAGGCCCACATCTCCCAAAGGAAGATCTGCCTTCCAGAGACCACGTCAACCGAGATGTGAGCAGAAGTTTGAGCTTCCACCTTTTTTTACACAGAGACCTCCGGGGAAGGGTGGAGGGGGGAAGTTTAATCTCGTGTCAGGTTCAGCCGGCAGCCCTCAGCCGCACCGGCGGTAGTTCCGCGCTCTCGAAAGTCCCTTCCACGGGGATTCACCCGCGTCCCCGCAGGGCAGCCCGAGGGGCCTCTCCCGCCGGTCCCGCACCGGCACCACGCCGCCCGGGCCTCTGCTGCCACCTAGCGGTGCGGTAAATTCCTCGCCAGTCCCGCACCCACTGGTCTCTCTCACTCCCAGTAAAGGACAGGAAAAGGGAAAAGGGAAATTCCCTCCCCAGCCTTCTCAGCCCAGCCATACGCCTTGCACTGTGTCTTACACTGCTCACTTTGAAAGCCGGTACCCTCCCCCTCCAAAAAGAACAAACAAACAAAAAAAAACAAACTCGGAAACATGGAATTCATAGAATCATAGAATCGTCTAAGTTGGAAGAGACCCTTGGGATCATCGAGTCCAACCATCTACCCTACTCTACAAAGTCCTCCCCTACACCATGTCCCTTAGCACTGCATCTAAACGGCCCTTAAACACAGCCAGGGATGGTGACTCCACCACCTCCCTGGGCAGCCTGTTCCAATACCCGACCACTCTTTCTGTGAAAAATTCTTTCCTAATGTTCAGTCTAAACCTACCCTGTTGGAGCTTGAAGCCATTCCCTCTCGTTCTGTCAAATTCCACGCTAAGGTTAAAAAAATTTCCTAAGGGGAAGCAGCATTCTCACCTTCCTCCACAGGTGGTGGAATCCAGGAGGAATTCAGGAATTCTGAAGTTGATTCCCCAAAAGACAAAAGCAGACACCAGGAGTCTGTAGAGCTGGTGGTGTAACTGACCTAAGACTCAGAACAGACCACCTAGACCACATCCTACCGGCATGAATTCACTATGGGCTCGGGTTAGTCAGAGAAGGCAGGTATCTCCAAACATAAAAAACCAAACCAAACCAAAACCTCCCACAAAACACCAGCAAATTTTGTGTCCCTCAAGACAGGAACCAATATCTGCTTTTTCAGTAGCACCAGAACAACAGGTCCAAAGCCAAAATACACTCCAGGTTACGTTTAAAATAAACGCAAGAAACACCAATAGGAGCAAACATTTTAACACACACCTGAAGCAGATTTCTGCAATTTCACCAGAAGTCACTTTTACCAGTTGCAGTTGTTCTTCTGTGCTTTGACACATTCAGCATTTAGTTCGATTAAGCCAGGAAAGGCTTCCTTACCTAAACAGATTTTACTGAACTGCTACCCTGCTCTTACAGAACTATGGTGTCAATTAGTTAGAAAGCAAGTGAAGCAGTTATGGTAAAAATAGTAATTGGGATAAAATTCAGAGAAAATATTTGCACTTCAAAAAGTAACAAAAATCTCTTCTGGTATAATGAGAACAGCTCTAATGAGCTAGGGATGAAAATTCAAAATGTCAGAAAACATCATCTAACAAAAGCCCCTTGTGAAATTTAATTGAAGTCACCATATTTAAATATCAAAGAATGAAAATGCATAATAAATCTTACTACACTGGGGATGCAAGTAACAGACCATATTCCTGGTACTATTCTGGAAAATTATGTTTAACTGCAGAAAATGTTAAACTCAAAGAACTTTTCAGCTTTTACATTCTGTTATTTTTGTATTAGTAAAGCAATTACACAGTTGTCCACTGAATGGAGTCTTTTGAACCAGAAACACAATGGATTATCCAATTTCAATTCTGACAGGAAAACAAAATGAGTAAAATAATAATCTTTTGCAACCCTTTATGAGTTTTTTGGGTTTTTTTTAAGATACTATTTGTCTCAGCTTTTTATTGCACTAGGAAAAGAACTCAGCGGAATTTCACCAGAAGTTCCAGCAAGAAGCAAAACGCATCAGGTCAGAAATTAGAAAGAAATACTTTCTTCATGGAAGACCAAACAAAGGGTCTTGATATTATATCAAGATAAAGGGGATGGCCTTTCCAGCTGCCAATTCAACTACAGTCTTTAGGCCAAATTGCACTAACCACAGAGGACAACATATGGATACATACAATTGTTGTCAAGATAAGGTAACTTACAAGATGAGTTACACCAAACAAAACATTATCTTCTCCCCTCTCCTGCTCTCTTTTTCTTTAAAAGTGAAATTTTATAAATGGACTGACATGTCTGGTAACAGCTTTTTATCTATCATGATTTAGGTCCACAGATTTCAAATTAATTAGCCGAGACATTTTTATATGCAGCACAAATAAGTCATGTAAAAATACACATTTTATTATGTACATTTGGAGCTTAAACTGATGCAGTTTTTCCTTCTTCAGTGACATCTTTTGCCTCATGACTGCTTCCTTCTTCTGCTGCTGCTTCCAAATACTTCCCTTCAGTGCCCTGCAGAAACACAGCAATTTTTTATATTTTTTAAAATTATTTAATTCTCCTTAATTCTGGAAATCCTCCCCCTTATATTGCCACTGTAACAAAAAAGGACAGCCTGCAAAGATAATTATTGTCTCCAAAATTGAACAACTTGAATGACAAGCATCTTCAAACTAATTTCATAAAAAAATTATCATAGATTAGGCTTGGGAACGCATCCTTGGCTGACAAGTTTCAGAAACACAGTAGTACTTTTTTTTAATCTTTCTTGTAACAAAAATAAGTAAAATATTTGATTCAAAACATCTGCTGAATCTTATGAAGATTTCCTAAGTTTAAGCATGCCTTGATAGTGAGTTTCACGTTATATGCGGCTTATGATATTTTATAGTTCTATTTATCTTAAAAACCTGCCTTTTGCATTCATCCAGCCATTGTAAAGCTTCTCTTGGAAAAGTACATTTCAACTTTGAAACACTGTTTATTTAATAGAAGAATGTTTGCAAGAAACTCTTATTTTCCATGTAGGTTTTAAACAGGCAAAAAGTACTCAAATTAGCTCATGTACGAAGCTTACTGCAATGACATTCCCTTTTATCTCCAGTAACTGCCACCTAGGTTCACCCAGTGGTATAAGGCTTTAACCTTGAATTTTCTTGGAAGAAACACATTTGTATGTGTTCTCTCAAACCTGTAGCAGAAAATTTGGTACTACCTAAAATCTAGTGTAAATACAGTATTCCAAGTTTTAGTTTTCTTATTTCATGTTGACAATTAAAACAGGAAAAAATAACTTTAAATTTTACACACACAATACCAACATTAATTCTAAAAATACTAATACAGTTTAAAGCGATGATTAAGAACAGCTTAGAGATTTCATGTGCCTGATTTTTCTTCACCTGTGAACATTTCCTGAAGGTATGTTCTTGAAGATATTATCCATCTCTAATCATTCAAATTCTACTTTACTACAGCATTTCTTTATACTTGGTAAGCTTTACTTTACCACTAATGAGACTTACCAGCCTCTTTGATCTTTCCAGCAGCTTGTGCCACACAGTGTGGTGAGCCTGAAATTAAATATCATTAAATGACGTTACTGGAGGCCACCAAAAAAAAAAAAACCAATCACCAAAAAAGCTTCTCATAGAATCGATTCTGACAAGTACATAGAAATGATGGCACAAAACCCTAACAGTCGCCAAATTGGATGTTACAGCTTATAATTTCAGTCTACAATTTGCCCATATTCTTTTGGGAGACTTGAATAAATGTCCCCTGACCGTATCCATTCGTTGTGTGGGTAAGGGGCAAAAATGGGAATTAAAAGCTTACGACAGGGAAGGGAAAACAGAAATGAGGTGAGGAACCCAGTGTCCACTGGTCACTTGAAAACTTCCCCACTGAGAGCAGATGTGCCAGACCACAGGTCAAAATCACGTAAGTCAACTGAAATGGGAAGAAAGACTCCTGCCTCTGCTTATAGTTCTGCAAAGCCTTTGTTTAAGGCTGATTAATGCTAGGACATTTTTTTGTTATTGTTATGAAGTTTTACTTTGAAACGGTATCTTTTACCATGACTATATGGTTACCTTCAAATGGACTGGCAGGGACACACCCTGGAACCTCCTTATCAATTCAGATTGGTTCGTCTGAAGATTATGGGCTGCTGTTATCTCATACTGGAAACAGAAACTTGTCCTTGGAATATGAGGGCCTTCACTAACATCTACAAAGTCACCAAACCTGAAGGGACAAAAGAAAAAACTCCTATGACACATATTCAGAAAGAAGTACAAGCATCTTTATTTTTGATTAGCAAATTCCTATCTACTGAACAGATAAAAGAAAATCCACACAAATCCCAAACCAAATCTAAACAAATCCCCAGTTCAGCATTTCTAGGTTACCTGAAGCAAAAGTAAAGGTTACCCAATTTCCTAAAATGAAATATGAAATTTAAACCTCAAATCCTAGGAGAAATTTAAACCTCAAACCTAGAAAGATGATCCTAGGTTTAACAAATGTTTGAAGCCATGTTGGCTTTACAAGTGAGATAAATCTCTCATTCACCAGAAAAAGATTTGTCTCCAAGATCACACACTTTCCACAGTACAGTGTTTACAATCTGCACAGGCATTTCCCTTTCAGGTGTTGGAAAACTGCAAATCAATTGAGAAAAGCAAGAGATAAAAAAGGTGTACAGCAGAAGAACATTCAGAACAAACCTCTCCCAGAAAACAACAGATAAGCTCATTTCCACTCTTACTGAGCAAACTAGAGAGTGGAAGGAAGGAGGAAAAACAGACACAACATTATTCTAAAATTTCAAGAACCATCACTGCAAAGACATCTGTTTCTTTAGAGAGATGTGGACTCCAAAATCAAATGCAGAACAATTTAGATATCTAGAAAACTGAATACCTTACACTAGCCTAAGCTAGTCACCAATTTTATTATATGCCTGAGATAAAATCCAAGCTTCCAGCCTCCAGCCTAAGAACTTTACATCTTACACTGTATCCCAGGAGCCAGCTCTGTTCTCACCTCCACCATGACAAGACAGTAATTTCCCAATTAGGAAGATCTTGACAACTTTGGAAGAAAAATCCACTATACAATACTAACTCTTGTTTTCAAACATGTACGTGCTTTCTATTTTATTTAACCTGTCAAGCTCTAGAGATTTATTCAGAATTTTATGTAAAAACATTTAGACAAGTAAGACCTGTCTAGCACTTGCCACCTTTAACATAACGAGAAATACAGTGAGATCTACCAAGTGTTAAGTATCACAAAACAATGGCTGCATAAAAAAAACCCAAAACAACCACCCAAACAACAACTTAAAACAGACTAGAGACAGCAATGAATACAAGTGATTTCTAAATTGAAAATCATCACAAGTTAACTCCTCTCACTTGCAGAGAGTACTTGCAATATAATCAAATCTTTCAGCGAATCATTACAGAATGAGAGTTCAGTTTTGCTCACCTATGTAACGTTACAATTCCTTCCACATTCTGAGAAGCTTTTCGTTCTATCATCTCCATTTTGTATCTGAACAAGGAAAGAAAAAATTAAAAAAATCATTACCTTTAACACTTAATTCTTAGAAGAATACTTAAGAGATTGGTTTAAGGAGCGTTCTTTAAAATCATTCTTGTATTTATATGAGCTTTGAAATAGGTTTAAAAATCTCAATTTTATATGACAGCATGTATTGGTATGTCTCAAAGCATGTCATTTATATGACAGCATGTATTGGTATGTCTCATAAAGCATGTCATACAGAGCTGTTAGTCTAGCCTCAGTTCCTGGAAAAATTATGGAGAAAATTATCCTGAGTACTATTGTAAGGCATCTAAAGAATAATGCCCTTTGGGCTTGTCTAGTTTGGAGAACAGGAGGCTGAAAAGCAACCTCATTGCCCTCTACAGCTTCCAGAGGAGGGGGAGCAGACAGGGAAGTGCTGAGCTCTCCTCCCTGGGATCCAGGGACAGGACACCTGGGAATGGTTCAAAGCTGCATCAGGGGAGGTTCAGACTGGACATTAGGAAGCATTTCTTTACTGGGAGGGTGGGCAGACTCTGCAACAGGTTTCCCAGAGAGGTGGTCAATGCTCCAAGGCTGTCAGTGTGTAAGAGGCATTTGAAAAATGCCCTTAACAATACACTTTAACTTTTGGTCAGCTTAGCAGCTGAACTAGATAATCGTTATAGATCCCTTCCAATTGAAATGACTATTTCATTCATGACTATTCTAGTCTATTCTGTACCCTGTGTATATGTTATAGGAGGGCCATGCTCTCTCAGAAGACTTTTATTCAGAAAGAGAAGATACTATCAAATCACCTAAACAGATTTTATGCAATGGGTGGTCCTTAACAGCCGGTCATCTGCAAGACAGCAAAGTATAAATTGGGAGATTCTCTGCTCTTTCTACAGACACACAAATACACATAAAATGTCTAAAGCTACTGTCAAAAGTCAGCTCCCACCTGCTGTCAATACTTGCCAGCCAACACAGCGAAGAGATGCTAGTCCATATGTCTTATTAATATCATCTTCATTATTAAGGTAAAAAAAACTAGTTATTTTTGCAACTTTACCATCATTTTATTTTGGTTCACAAAATTAGAAATTATTTATCGTTTCCCCCAACTCTCTCCAACTGCCGAAAAGCTGTGGATCAGAGAAATTTTTTCACCAAAACATTACCTAACCATTTTTTCAGAAAAGATAATTGGAGTGTTTTGAACAAGACTTCTTTTATAGCACAGGCCAAAGTCTTTTACCCATTTTCCCCCTAGAGAGCTCAAAAACCACATTTCATGAAATCTTCATTTGAAGATACCAAGATATGAAAAATCTACATTTGTTTGAATATGAAAGCCTTTCAGCAAAGGCTGAGAGTAGTTAGCACACCATGTCTCACCACCAGAGCTTCAATCTAAAAGTAGTGAAATCTTGAAGCTCACTATTAAACTAAGAAGTCTACAGTCTTTCCATTTGTCACAAAACTACATCCAGCAAAGGTACCTGGTGTTGACCTCTGGAGAGAACATTAAAAATGAAGTAAGGTACTGGTGACTAAGAGAACAGAAGCATGTTCATTCAGAGTACTGGGAGAAGTACCTTCTTACTTCACCTGTCACATCTTATTTTAGATTTACAAAAACAAGCAGAAATTTACATTAATTTCTAATTGCCTTTCTAAAAGGTAATTCATACACTCACCTGTTATGTTGAAACATTTCACGTGCTACTTTTGCTTCAACATGTAGTGTTTCAAAGGGCAGGTCTTTATGAATTAGCTTTCCAGCATCCCTTGTAAGAGAACGGAAGTCGTCCTAAAAAACAGTTGATATATAAAACTGTCACCACTGTTTCACAGCTGCACTGAATAGACAAAGAATAAGATACACTAAATATTAGTCAAAACAATAAGGATCATCTACTGTAAATCCTAAATATCATAGTATTGCAATTCTTACTATTTATCAGCAATATGTTGCTACAGACCATCGCTGTTTGAATGGACTGATTCAATGCTCAGTGAAATCAACTGGCATTTTTACACCAGAAACCACACATATTAATGGCAGTCAAACTTCTCGGGTTTTCTCAAGGTGATATATACACATACACTCTTCCTACTGTTATGTATTCCTCTGTGTCTCCTGTTTCCTTGAGTCATGATTCCATTTATAAATGACCTCTATTCTGATGGAATCAAAATAAAAAAGTACTGCATAACTAATAAACAGACATTGATCACCTTGGTCCAGAATCCAAAGCTCTGCATACTCAGATTTGTTGATAAATAAGAGATTTTTATTAGAAGAAATTACATTTATAATGTCACCTTACAGAACATTCTCTTCTCCAGACTAAAAAAACCCAAGTCCCTCAGCCTCTCCTAGTGAGGGAGATGCTCCAGGCCCCTAACCATCTTTGTAGCCCTCTGCTGTACCCTCTCCAGCAGTTCCCTGTCCTTCTTGAACTGGGGAGCCCAGAACTGGACACAGTACTCCAGATGGGGCCTCACTAGGGCAGAGTAGAGGGGCAGGACAACCTCTCTTGACCTGCTGGTCTTGATAATATTGAAGAAAAATTCTGCATTTTACCAACATTTCTTGGTTAGCCGTACACACCTCTGCTAATATTTGGGCATAAGAATAGGCACCAGGTAAGTAAAACACTCCTGATCACATGCTACTAAGGAAGCCTTTGGATGAATGTGCTCATGGTCCTGTTACAACAATAAACTGATTATGTTGTAACTCTCTAAATGAAAATACACATATTACACACATTTTTATTTTCAGAGGGCTCTATCACACAAAGGCTATAGGGCTATGGTTGCGTTACCAGGCAAGAGCAAGTAGGAGCAGATCTGCAGAGTAACAAAGGTGGCACTGAGGTCCCAACAGCCACACCAACTATTTTGGGAATTGTATGTCAGTCTGGAGCTACTCTAGCCCCATACACTTATAAACCTGTAAGAATTTGGAGGATGGCTGTAGGTTTAATTTCATCTGAAAAGAACCCAGTTTGTGTGCTCTGAGACTACTCTGCCATGAAAGCCAATATATGGTAAATATAGAGATTACTTTCCAAAGAATACTCCTGATCTAAAATACTAGTATAGATATACCCTGTGAGAATAAATAAAAAAAAAAAAAAAACAAAAAAAAACACTGTCCCCCTCCCCCATTAGAAAAGAACCACTGGACAAGGATGCAAGTTTTATAACTTTTTGAGGAAGAAGTTATTGTGCTTACGTTTGTTGGTTTCCAGTCATTCAGTCTGTTGTCCAAAATTACATCATAGCAGAAAGCTCCAGAGATCACTGTAATTCCAAAGAAAAAAATTTCATGATTGTAACCAAGTATGTATTTCATTGTTATAACACACACTTATAAATGTATCAAAATGAATGAGAAAAAAACGAAAATGATCTCAAGATCATCATAAAAATATAAGTTTTCCACAGTGATTATACCACCAAACAGCACATTAAACCTGCATCAGGTCACAGATGAATACAAGTTATTACTAACCCCATTTGCACTTCAATAATCTTCCAACTTGATGCATACATAATAACTTTTAGTAACTCAGGTGTTCACAAGATTACGTAGTTATTAGGGCAAATTTTACAGAACCACATCATGTCTTCTAAACACTCAGGTAACTTCACAATACAGAGGTTATGTCCTCAAGTTACTAAATTGAGGCAATCAAGTTAAATGAAACCTTAAGTGGTCTGAAACGCAGATGCCACAGACCAATTTTCTGTACTTTTGTACCATTGTTTTCAGTGTGATTGCTATAAATTAAAGCCTCCAACAATAGCATGTAGTACACAAATCAATGCTAAGTACCTTCAATCATTACAAAAGTAGCCTCTGATTTTTTTTGATAACATTATTAGACAGTCATTTAAGAACCAGCAAGAGACAACATAATCAGTATAAAACACTTGTATCACCTGGCACTTCTGGAGCTTTAATCAGATTCACTGAGTACTCATCTTTGAATGCTCGTTTTAACACACACGCCATGATCATGGCACAGGAACGCCAATAGGCCTATAAAGAGAATTTCAAAGCACAGATTTATTACCTATAAGGTGACAACTCACACCAGAAGAATATCACCAACATTTAACTAAATTAGGCACAAACCTAGCTGTCAACCAAGCATTACTTTCTTTAGTGTTTAAACTTCTATTTGGAGATCATTTTCCACATCAAAAATATCTTAACTGCACTTAGAATGCAAGCCAGACGTTTCCCTGGAGAAATTTAAATCTAAAATCATAAAATACAACAACAAAGACTGAAAGGGATGTCCACACATCACCTAGCCCGCACCCTGGTTCAACTAATGATAACCATGATGTGCCAACCATCTATTAAAAATATCTGAACTTTCACAACTGTTAACAAAGTTCAAGAAAGCAGACAGGGAAGTGAAGGGGTCATAGAGAATCAAGTGGTCATAATCAGTCACCTACAACAGGATAAGCTACAGACTTACCTTGTTTACTTCCTCCGGATCTTCATCTTTGAAAGTAAGGAACCGAATTTCACATGATTTGGTCAAGGGTCTATACATATCCCAGACTTCACCATCCACAAGAGCTAGAACAGATTTCTTGCAGTGCCATTCACTTAAGTCTAAAGAAAATGAAAAAAGTATTAGACTGTTATTAACCATATTCTTCAGAGTCTGCAGTTCAGGCCCCTACATCTGTAACAATAAACTGCAAGTTTCACTTTCGTAAATTACTTGGAAGAGTTGTTAATAGAGGCTCCAAAAATCAAATCAGTTTCTGCTGATTATCTTAGCACAAAAGTATTTTAAACATACCAGTTACAAATATTCTGAACTAATGTCTGTAACCTCGGCCGTTAAAACACCACTAATATCAACATTTCAAACTCGGAGGACAAGTGCTGCAACTGGCAGTGCCATTTTCATCCCCGGTGGCGGGACGCTCGTTTGAGCCCCTTCACTTACGCATGGCGCAGTTGTAGGGAGTAGACAAAGCTTTGTTCATGACAAACACAGTGCCAGGGTGAGACTTCCCCGTGTATTTTACTTCGATTTTCTCAATTCGGGGATGGAGAGACAACTGCCGCTCTTTCTCTTTGGTGAAGAGCTCGTTACGCATCCGGATCACCTCCTCTGGCGTCAGCCGAGGAACAGCGGGCGTGGAGATGAACCCTGGTGAAAGAAATAAGCAACAAGGAGTTTTTACATCCTCTTTATGAGGGTTTCTACACCATCTACACCTGTGACAGAGGCCATGCCCCTGCACTGCCGATCCACGGCTCTGTCTCAGTGTGCATGAGGTGACCGCTCCCGAAGCTCTGGCTGCCCGCCCCGGTTCTCGCTCCCTGCTGCTCCTGTGTGAAGCCACCACAGAAAACTCAGCCACGAAAGCTTCGTGACCTTCTCCGGCTGCAAAGGCCTCCGGGCCCCTTCCCTCAGACAGGCGCCCGCCCGCCCGCACCCACAGCGGCCTCCTCAGCCCGGCGGGCCAGGGGCCAGCGCCGCCCCACACGGCCAGACCGGG